GTGGCCAGGTGGCATTCTTAGCTTCCAGTTCAATGGAATTAGTGAAGTGTCTCCAGGTGGGAGCACTCCTCCCTTTGGAACTAAGACCTCTAGATCAGCAGAGCATAAGGTCGTGGGAACAGGAAGCAAAAATTTTGTGAGTGGGTCACTAGGGGTAATAGTGAGTGGTGCCACTCTCATTTCCACCTCTTAATTCCTGGACTCATGAATCCTAGCTATGGGAGAAACAGCACCATATATTAGATACTGGTTTGGAGCATATACAGCCTCCTGGAGAACACTGCCCCAACCCTGTAAGGTATTGCCTTCTAGCTGGCGCCATAATTGTGTCTTTAGGGGGGCATTCCATCGTTCTGTCAAGCCAGCTGCTTCAGGATGATGGGGTACATGATAAGACCAGTGAACTCCACGAGCATGAGCACATTGCCTCACTTCATTTGCTGTGAAGTGAGTCCCTTGATCTGAGGTGTCATGGACTGAATTGTGTTCCCCCCAGAATATCTGTCAATGAGTAAGGACAGTGTTGACATGTAGTGGGGTTCTTTCTTAACCATCGTCATAGGGCAATATGTGTACTGTTTAATGAGAAACTACTTTGTTCTGTAAACCTTCATCTAAAGTGAGAACAGCAGCACAACTGGAAGAACATAATCGACATCACTGAACTGTACATGTAGAAATTTTTGATATGGTGTATTTTGGCTATGTATATTTTCACCAAAAAAAAAAAGATCCTCCATATCCGAGAAGCGAGCGTGTTGACATGTCGTGGGGTTGTTAAACAATGTCATAAAACAATATGTGTACTGAATGTTTAATGAGAAAATATTTGTTCTGTAAACTTTCACCTAAAGTACAATAAAGAAAAAATTTAAAAAAAATCTGTCAACTTGGCTGGGTCATGATTCCCAGTATTGTATAATTGTATACCATTTTGTAATCTGATGTGATTTCCTTATGTGTTGTAAATTCAATCACTATGATCTAATAAGAAGGATTAGTGGCAGTTATACTGATGAGGTATACAAGTTTGGATAGTGTCTTAAGCCAATCTCTTTTGAGAGATAAAAGAGAGAAGCGAGCAGAGACACATGGGAACCTCATACCACCAAGAAAGCAGTGCCAGGAGCAGAGCACGTCCTTTGGACCTGAGGTTCCTGTGCAGAGAAGCTCCCAGACCAAGGGAAGATTGATGACATGGACCTTCCTCCAGAGCTGACAGAGAAAGCATTTCCTTGGAGCTGACGCCCTGAATTTGGACTTGTAGCCTCTTAGACTGTGAGAGAATAAACTTCTCTTTGTTAAAGCCATCCAATTGTCGTATTTCTGTTATAGCAGCACTAGATGACTAAGACATGAGGCGATGCTGTGTGGGATACTATGAAAGTGGATAAGGCATTCTGTAAGTCCACAGGTGGTAGTTTTGGTGGAAGCACTGCATGCAGGGAAGGAAAATCCATATCCAGAGTAAGTGTCTAGTCCAGTAAGAACAAAACGCCGCCCTTTCCATGACAGAAGTAGTCCAATGTAATCAACTTGCCACCAGGTTGCTGGCTGCTCACCTCAAAGGATGGTGCCCATGTCGGGGACTCAGTGTTGGTCTCTGCTGCTGGCAGATTGGGCACTCAGCAGTGGCTGTAGCCAAGTTGGCCTTGGTGAGTGGAAGTCCATGTTGCTGAGCCCATGCATAACCTCCATCCCTGCCACCATGGCTACTTTCTTCATGAGCCCATTGAGCAATGACAGGAGTGGCTGGGGAAAGAGGATGACTGGTTTCCACAGAACACATCATCCTATCCACTTGATTGTTAAAATCCTCCTCTGCTGAGGTCACCCTTTGGTGAGCATTCACTTGAGCCACAAATATTTTCACTTCTTTAGCCCATACTGAGAGGTCTGTCCACATACGTCTTTCCCATATCTCCTTGTCTCCAATTTTCCAACTGTGTTCCTTTCATGTCTCCGACCATCCAGCTAAACCATTGGCCACGGCCCATGAATCAGTATACAATCACACATCTGGCCTTTTTCCTTCCAAGCAAAGTAAACAACCAGGTGCACTGCTCGAAGTTCTGCCCATTGGGAGAGTTTCCCTTCACCACTGTCCTTCAGGGAGGTATCAGTAAGGGGTTGTAGTGCTGCTGCTGTCCACTTTCAAGTGGTGCCTGCATATCGCACAGAAACAATTGTAAACCAGACATGAGTTTTCTCTTCCTCAGTCAACTGATCATAAGGAACTCCCCATGAGGCCATACGTGCAGACTGGGAGATGGAAGGTAATGTGACAGGAGTGGAGACCATGGGCATTTGGGCCACTTCCTCACGCAACTTATCTGTGCCTTCAGGTCCTGCTTGGGCCCGATCCCGTATGGATCAAACAACACCCAGTTCATGATGGGCAGCTCAGGCCACATGGTGACTTGGTGGCCCATGGTTAAGCATTCAGTCTCTTCTAAGGCCCAGTGACAAGCCAAAAGCTATTTCTCAAAACGAGAGTAGTTATCTGCAGAGGATGGCAGGGCATTGCTCCAAAATCCTAAGGGTCTGTGCTGTGAATCACCAATAGGGGTCTGCCAAAGACTCCAAACAGCATCTCTATCTGCCACCGACACTTCAAGCATGATTGGATCAACCAGATCATATGGCCCAAGTGGCAGAGCGGCTTGCAGGGTAGCCTGAACCTGTTGCAGAGCCTTCTCTTGTTCTGGGCCCCACTCAAAACTAGAAGCTTTTTGAGTCACTTGATAAATAGGCCAGAGTAGCACACCCAAATGAGGAATATGTTGCCTCAAAAATCCAAAGAGGACCACTAGGCGTTGTGCCTCCTTTTTAGTTATGGGAGGGGCCAGATGCAGCAACTTATCTTTCACTTTAGAAGGGATATCTCGATGTGTCCCACACCACTGGACCCCTAGAAATTTCATTGAGGTGGAAGGTGCCTGAATTTTTATGGGATTAATTTCCCACCCTCTAGCATGCAAATGTTTTACTAAGTCCAGAGTCATTGACACTTCTTCCTTACTAGGTCCAATGTCATCAATGTAATGGACCAGTGTGGCGTCTTGTGGAAGGGAAAGGTGATCAAGGTCCCTGTGGACTAAACTATGACATAGGGCTGGAGATTTGATGTAGCTCTGAGGTAGGCAGCTGAAGGTGTATTGCTCGCCTTACCAGCTGAAGGCAATCTGCTTCCACATTTTAGGTACCTGTTAAAGCAGCACCCCCACTCCCGGTACCAAATGTCTTAGGCTAGGTTCTCTAGAGAAGCAAAACCAGTAAAGGCTATAAATACATATATATATAGAGAGATTTATATCAAGGAAATGGTCACACAGTTGTAGAGGCTGGAATGTCCCAAGTCCATGGGTCAGGATAGATGCTTCTTTTGATTCACATAGCCACAAGGGCTCACGAACCCAAGATCGGCAGGTCAGACAGCAAGGCTTTTGCTCATAGGCTGCGAAGATCGATGAATCCCAAGATCAACAGGCAAGACAGCAGGTAAGCTGCTAGCTCAAGTCTCAAGAACCGGAGGTCAGATGAACAGAAGCCAGCTGCAGGATCCAGAGTGAGCAAAAGCCCACAAGCCTTGCCAGAAAGTACACTTATATTCTATGCAGGCCACTCCCCCAAGGAAAATCCCTTTCAACTGATTGGCTACTCACAGCAGATCCCATCATGGAGGTGATCACATTATATCAAATCTCATCATGGAAGTGATCACATTATATCAAATCTCATCATGGAAGTGATCACATCATCATACAACTATCAAACCACCGAAAATCATGGCCCAGCCGCGTTCACAGCAATCTTAATGATCACACACCTTGTGCCGATTCACAACTTCTCTAAACCTTAATTTCCTAATCTGTGAAATACTTAAAGTAATAACCACATAGAGTTTTGATAGCAAAATAACACAATACCTATAAAGAACTTAGTACATATTAAGCACTTAGTAGATATTAGTTATTATTATCTGAGAAAACTGTCCTTTGTGCCAGATTCCTTTAAATTTGGGTTATTGGTTTCTTGCAATGGCAAGTGGGAACCATTGAGTTAAATGGCTCAAAACTTACCTGCGCAACTCATCCTCTTTCTCACTTCATCACAATCATCTGGAACGCCACTCATTTACTCCTGCACAGCTCTCTACCTCTGTGCCTTCACTATTCCTGTTCTGCCTGCCCAGAATCCCCTTGAATTTTCTGCTTATATAGTCCAAATCTTATTGCTCCCAAAAGTATCATCTCCAGTCGCCTACCTCCCTGAAGTCTTGCCTGACTGCTCTAGGCCAAATGAATGAGCTCTTCTCAAAACTTTGGTTATTATCTTACCATCTGTGTTGCAGGATTTAACCCCTAAACACATGCATACATTCTACTGGTGATTTTTATTTCATATCTGTGAAAGCTCTTGGGAGACAGAGATGGTATCCTATAATTCTTTTTAAACCTCTTCCCTATCCATCCTCTGGTATGTACTAAAGGAGTAAAGGAATGAACAAACTTCCATAGCAGAGCCCAGTCTCTCTAATCTAAGGCACACTTGGAGAAACATTTTAAAAACACAAACTTTTAAGAATGATAATAATCATAGTAGCTTAAGTTTGTGTAAGTCTTCACAGTTTAAAAAAATGCTTTCATACTTTTAACCAAATCTGGTTCTCACAAAAAAACTTTGTGAAGCAGGAATCATTGTCCTCATTTTGCACGTGAGGAAACAGATTCAGTTCATTTTCATGGCTTGTCCAGGGCTGAAGAACTTGTAAATGGTAGCGCTGGGGCCCAAACTCCCATATCCTGCTATATCTTTTACTTGGCTACTTTGGTGGGTCCAGTTTATCACTGCTAGTGTTTACCCTTCTTGCACTGTGCTCTAATCTCTAAACCTGACCCTCTGATCGAAAGAGGGTGCTGCTCAAACAATGATGGGCCTTTGCATTACTTTAGATGTCAAGACAGTGCCCATTCGAGGAACAAGAAGTACAGCCTCACCTGGTGTTCCTAAGCGGGCCTGAGCAATGGTCAGTTTTTCATGGGGAGCTTGGCACTGGCAGCTGGTTTCATCTGCAAATGGGGCAGGTGCAGTCAGGGTCTAGAAGGGAAAAAGAGAAAGGGAATAGAGTCTGACAAAATTTCCCTTGGCACTAACTGCCTCTAAAATTTTATTTCTGTTGGCTACACGCATATGATTAAGAAGTAGAATATACCCGCTGAGTCTTTCAGAGAAATATACTATTAGAAATAAAGACAGGGACATCATCATTAAAAAATTTGTTTTTGACTGATGCATCAAAAACAAGGAGCTCTTGGTTGCTTAGGTGCCATTGAGTCAGTTTTGACTCATAGCAACTCCATGTACAATAGAAGGAAACACTGCTCAGTCCTGCGCCATCCTCACAATCGTTGCTATGTTTGAGCCCATTGTTGCAGCCACTGTGTCAAATATATGCCAAGTACCAGATGAGGTACTCTGGATATGTTATCTCTTTTAGGCCTCACAACACCCTATGGAAGCGGTATAATTAGCCCTATCGCAAAGAAAAGGAAACTGAGGCTCAGCGAGGTTAAGAAATATGCCAAGGCATGTCCTTGGAAAGTCACAATGCCCAGCTTTGAACGTTTCACAACCAACGAGAGCAGTCTTCAAACATTTAGACTCACCTGCACGCCAGGGTACTCGGCTGGAAGGAATGCCATACTCAGAAATGTAGCATGACATCTCCTTTATTTCACACGCACCAGCCTGGCCAATCACAAACTCTGATGTCTCTTCAGTGCAAAGGTCAAGGCCATTATCTGTGCCCCAGGAAGGCCTAAAAGCACAGCAATTCTGGCGGACTGCAGATAACTGCTCCTGAGGTAGCTCTAACAGCCACCAATGGCTTCGAGGCCCCGCCCCAGGCAGCTTGGGCTGGGCCCCGGGGAACGCTGTGAGAAAGATGTAGTCACTTGGAAACCTGCCCAGGAAGTGGCCCTGCAATTTTTAGTCAGCCTCTTAAAATGAAAATCTCACTCTCTCCAGACAGAAGAAGACGAACTGAGCAGTATTTTTGTAAACAGGGCAAATGCAACTCAGACTTGTCCATTTGTAGTCCCATTATGTCATTGCCACTGTTGTCACTACACCATTTTTATTACTTTTAAAGCTGAAGTTAACTAGTCCCTATAAGCATTACTCATTGCTACGTGAATTGTTTCTTAGAGATGGAGACTGGTGTTTCTTAACTTGGGAAGGCTCAACTGAAGAATGATCCATACACTGGAACAGGGGCTATGACCCACATTTACCTTCTGCCCTTCACTCACTCACACAAATGCCAGGCAGTCTCTCAGAGGCTGGGGATAGAAGTAGGGATGAAACCACTCCTGCCCTTGAGGAGCCCCCAGCTCTCCTCTGCACTGCCAGGACCATTCCTTGCACTGCCCCTATCCCCTCTGCTCACTGTAGCACCATCCACCCTGGATGCCTCAGGGTTGTTTGGAGACCTCCCAGCTGCCTGAGTCTTCCTTAGCCCCCACCCTTTCCTTCAGGGCTCTGGAAGCAGGCCAAGACTTGGGAGAAGGATTCAGGAAACTTGAGTCTGTTACTGGTTCTTTTTCAGATACATTAAGGTGACCTTGTGGGCTATGGCAGACAAGAGCAGCATTTGTAATGTGGCAAAGGGCTGCAGTGACAAACAGCAGCGTCTCTGTAGCCACAATGACCTGGATTCAAATCCCTTTTCCAGCACTTACTGGCTATGTATTCTAATTCGGCTGTTCTGGCTGAAAGGAACTGACACTTGAAAGATTTAAGGCTATCCTGGCACAGAAACTGTGGAAAAGTAAGCAAGGAGCAGAGCTTGCCACAAGAGTGCCACAGAATGCTCTGCACTAACTCAGTCACTTTCTGCATGTGATTTACTCCATTCCACCCCATTTTCTCTATATCCTTCCACTATATTAAAGGTTCTGCTAGCCTTCCATTCCCCCAGAACTTTAGCTTGAATATGGCCCAGCATGGCCTCCTCCGCCTCCTTTCACAACACTCATTCAACAACTATTGATTGAGCCATTCAACTCCAGCTCCTGCTCCTTCCAACTTTCTGTTTCTTTCCGTGTTTCTCAATTCTAATTCCCAAGGGATAATCTGATTGGCCAACCTCATCTTTTCAAACCAGACCACAACCACAATTGGCTGGTGTTTTTGGATCAGGTGCCCACTCCAGGGCCAACCAGCTTGACTGGTGAGAGGAGGAGGAATGGCGAGGGAGGTCCTGGGTGTCCCATTGTTGCCTCTTTAGCAGGAACTGTAGGTGGGATAAGGAGCCCTGGTGGCTCAGTGGTTAAAGCACTCGGGTGCTATCCAAAAGTTCAGTGGTTCAAACCCACCAGCTGCTCCACAGGAGAAAGATGTGGCAGTCTGCTTCTGTAAAGATTACAGCCTTGGAAACCCAATGGGGCAGTTCTCAACAGCAATGGGTTTTTGGGTTTGGGTAGGTGGGATAAGGAATGTATTTGACTGCATGCTCTCAAAGCGAGTTCTTTAATTAATCTGAATTTTAGTTACACCTGTAAAATGGGTATAATAGTACCTATTTGCAGGGTTGCTGTGAAAAATAAAAATAATGTGTGTAAAGTGCTTGATACTTGATAAGTTGTAGCAATTGTTAACACTGCTGTTATTATTCATTAGTATAGATCATAAAATATAATGCTATATATTATGTAGTTCCCCATAGAAAGAAGCACACTGACTCATGAATAAATTTTCAGGACACCACCAGCTGGCAAATGAGATTAGTTTACACTTAAGATTCATTACGCTTTAATATATGTGGCCAGTGAAACTTTTTCACAATATCTAAAATAGATTACTATTTGGAGATCTTTTATGTGCTAGTCACAAAGTTTATTAAAGAGATAAGGTGTTGCCGTTTTCCAAGAAAGATGTATTCTAGAAGGTGTGAAATCTGATAATTAAAGCAGAGATACAGAAAGTTGCAAAGAAAGAATAGTTTCAAAGGTGAAGAAAAGGTTTACATGCACTGTGCCTTTTGTCCTTAATTATTGTGGCCTGTTATTGTGTGCCGTCGAATTAATTCCGACTCATAGTGACCTAATAGGACGGAGTATAATCTTTACGGGAGCAGATCACCAGGTCTTTTCTCCTGCAGAGTTTCTCGTGAGTTCCAACCACCGACCTTTCAGTTAGCAGCTGAGTGCTTAACCACTGTGCCCCCAGGGCTCTCTGTGGTCTAGAAGTAAGAAATAGAGAGAACTGAAGAGATGAAAGGCAGAGAGAGATCACTGGCTTGTATGTGCACGTGTGTGCATGTGTGTACTTGTGCACATGTAATTGTCTTTACGACAGTTGACATGATGAAGATGTATTTCTTGTTATGCACCAGGCACTGTGCTTGGAATAGGAAGAATACAAAAATAAACGAGCCCCAGCCTTGCTCTCAAAAACATTGCCTTCCAAAGTGAGGTAGAATACCCACTGGGTTGAGAGGCAAGGCTCTGCCTTCAGGAAGGTCTTGGTTAAATCTCAGCTACCACCAACCAGCCCTGAGTCCTGAAGCAAGATTTTTCCAGGCTGAACACCCCAGATTACAAGACAAAACTCCTTCCTCTGTCAACCAGAATAAATCCTTTGATTTCTAAGGAGATTTATTGCTACTCAAGTCCCACTTCCCTCACTATAAGGGGTAGACCAACCCCAGGACTATGGGAGTAAGACAGCCAGAGGTTCAAGTGAGGGGCAGAGACTGGGCCAACCTGACCTCCAGGCCATCTACTAGCCTCCAGGGGATCAAGGTCCTCATCTATTCCTCACCATTTGCCAGAGCTGGGATAGTTCCAGGGATCCACTGTTCTGGTCTAAGCCCTGCATGAGACGTAAAAGTGAGGCCTAATAACATAATAGCTAAATCTTTGAGTGCCTGCTTAGTGCCATGTATCTATCTGTATGCTAAACCAAAAACCAAACCCACTGCCGTCAAGTCGATTCCGACTCATAGAGACCCCTATAGGACACAGTAGAACTGCCCCATGGAGTTTCCAAGGCAGTAATCTTTATGGAGCAGACTGCCACATTTTTCTCGGCAGAGTGGCTGGTGTGTTCGAACCGCCGACCTTTTAGTTGAGTGCTTTAACCACTGTGCCACCAGGGCTCAGAGCGGTGCATGGCCCCACCATGGGGCAGGCATAAATATGCTAAGTACTTTAAATGTATTAGCTCATTTAATTTGTATAACAACTCTATGAGGTAGGTACTATTGTTATCGCCACTGAACTGCACAGTATGTGTCTTCTACAGTGACATCGAGTGGAAGCAAGAAGCAACAGCAGATCCCTGAGACTTAGTTACCTTTTTGGCTCTCTTTGAACTAAGGATACCCCTAGGATTCTTAGACAGGAGGGACAGACCCCCAAAAAGGAGATACTGGACTTCCTGATAGTTAGAGAAGGGAAGCTCAAACAATTAATTGAAAAAAGTAAAGACATGTGACCATATGTTTACCCAGACTTTAGTGAAGCAGACCAGATGACTTACATATAGTCACTGGCAAGCCTTAGCTTAGTCTCTGAATCACCCAGATCATCACATCCTTGAGTGTTTATTAGCACGTGATAAGGGTTTAATACGATGCTAGGTGTTTAGAGGATGGATAAAAGGAGGAGAGAATAAGAAAGAAAGGAACAGAATTGGCTCTGGGGCAGCAATTCTCAAAGATGAAGGTGGCCCTTTAGAATGGGAGAAGGTGTTAGTTTGCAAAGGTATATTCAGTTTTATAACAATTTTATATTTGGAAAGAAAATGTACTCTTCAAAATGCAAGTCATAGAAATTAAGCTTCTAGATAGACTCTCGTCCCATAGGAAGCCATATTCCAAATTTGGAGCCAAAGAGGCACATGAGATTTTTTTTTAGCAGAAGAGAGCGAGGATTTTAAAGGGTTAATAAGCTCTGGCCCTGTGCCCTGGCCCTCAAATATGCAAGGGCCTTGCCAGACCACAAACATGGAGTTAGACTCAATAAAACTTCTTTCTACCTAATGTAAGGTTTCAGAACATCCAGTCACTGCATGTGAATAAGTTGCCTGTTTGT